TTCGAAAACAAAATTAGAAAATTGGTTTCAAAAATTATATTATATATCTATAATCATAGCATTTAAAAGTGTATGTTTTAGAGAAATAACAAAATAGTTACAATGTTCATATTTTTTTTTTATTCATAGTATAGCATCAACTACTAGAACATCTTGCAAAAAAAAAAATTAGTTAGCAGTTACATATAAATAATACAATAGATTCCTTAGCTTAAGTTGTACATATCAATAAGTTTTAGAAATGTGATGATTTTGTTGTCCTGGATTGGGCTAAGGGCATAGAAAATAGATTAAGGCTAAGAGTTTCGAAGAGGTTGTCAGGCATTTCTAGGCTTTTTCTGATATCTATATGGTTCGATAGTAGACAAGGAGGTGCTTGACTGTGAAAGGTTCTCCGCAGTTTGACACATTGCATGTTCTTATCTGCACATAAGATGTCCATGGGACATGTTTAAATGACTTAAAAGTTTCTAGTCTGTTTTACATATAGGTATTAAAAACTAAAATATCCAATAATAATATTATCGTAATTTGCAAATTCGCAACACATGAGCGATGAGCCGTGATGATGTGTATAAAGTATAGACTGTATAGAGGCCGCCGACCGACTTTTTTGTCAAATACATAGTTATTAGTAAAAGTTACATTTGAGAAATTAATTAAAGATGACATGATACCTAAATTAATTACAATTTTTTTTTGCCAAAACAATATTTCAGAATTTCAGATTTTAAACATCATATTTTAAAGAAAAACATTGATAATAATATTTAATTAATACTAACTAATAGTCATTTTAACTAATAAATCTGGTTTAAATTTAACTAAGGAAATAAAAGAACAAATTAAATTAATCTCGGGTCAAATCAATTAAACCATTTTGTTTTCAATGATGCCAAGTATGTACATGATTTTTTTATATATAGTAGAAGTTAGTGAATTAACAAAGGATCCTAAAAAAGTTAAAGTTCATCTTAAGCAAAGCAAATGATGCATTTTCTTATGATTTTATTATAATAGTGATGTTATTTTGTAGGCCCTATAGTAATAGATAGTTTTTTTTTTTTAATTGAACTTAAGCTCTGCGACTAAGGCCATTAGCTGTTGTAGGGGTTATGAACTGTGGTAGTGGTAAGGTTGGTACGGTAAGTTGTTTTTGTTTTACGATTGTTACGGTAGGTAGCAAACACGTGACTACTATGATCCCGGATGGGTGACCACCCGGGAGCTAGTAGCTGTGGCCGTTACTTACTCCCAGTCGCATTCCGCGACTGGTAGCAGCCAACGCTCCAATCCAAGCCACAATAGATGGTTTACTAATAAGTAATAACCTAGTATACAATTTGGTATCAATAAAGTTAGTAAGTCTTCAAAATTCAAAGCGAAAGCACGGAATGGAGTAATCCGTTCCATTCAAACAACTCAAGCAATTTTTAAGCAATCCAGAGTTATAAAAAAGGTAAGTAGGTAGTTTCAATGTGAAAATAACGATAGACAAATTAAGTATAGGTACCTTAGTACCTAACACTTATTGGTACAGGTTATAGTTATATCTGTGGCATCTGTATATTCTTATTTAATTAGCAAATCTGTACAAATATCAATAAGTGATAATATTGATGAATTATAAACAAGTAAATAAAGAAGGTGCTCTGCTGTACAGTATTTTACAAGTGGGTCACTGTATAATGGATGGTATTAAATTTGAATTCAATGATAAAATATCATTGTATAAGAAAAACGATTCTGAGCGAAAACGGTTAGTCAGCCTATATGATATTACGAAGTATATTTGATGATACTAAGGTGAATAAAGTAATTTATATATAACCTATTTACGTGGAATCTTGTTTTAAATTTAGCTATAAAAGTTGAACATTTTATAAATTTTTAACTACAAAATTATTATTACATTTTAAATGTGATAAATTTTGTCAAAATTTGAACTTTAATAGTTTAATCCTTATAAAAAAAATTGTGAATGTGTATTTTTAATATTTTTAAAGTGCTATTTTAACAATATATCAGGAGCTTTGCATTAAATTTCCACTCTTTTTTATTCAAAATCTTATTGATATTTATAGAAAAAAAACTAAAAGAATTGAAAACTGAAAATGTCGGTAAACAGCTCAAAAATAGTCAAAATATTTTAAATTGTATGGTGTATAGGAAATGCTAATATAAACATTCAGTAAAATTTTCATGTATCTACAGTCATTCGTTTTTGAATTACGACAAATAAGGAAATCGCTACATGAGAAATCGAGTGAATATCAAATGTAAAAATATGAATTTCAAACGCTCATAAAAATTAAATTTGATTTTCTTGTAGAAATTTTTTTTTGATAAAGGTAGACAAACTTATGAGTAATCTTGTATTAGATTTTCAAATCTTAGATTTAAAAATAATAATTTTTATGAATTTCTAACTCGAAATAATTTGCAAATTTTCGTCATTTTTACGTATTTATTCAATATTTGAACTTTTAATGCTTATAACAAAAAACTGTGACTAAGGATTTTTAATATTTTTTATCTATCTTTGAAACAATATATTAGGAGCCT